TTTCCTTTCTCTAAATGAGAGAGCAGCAGTGGTCAGTAGAGTTGGGAAACGACGATTGAGATAATGCCTGTAAAACACAAAAGTAGGTACTGTTCTCTTTTTATTGTTGATTTTCTCGTTGCTGTTTCCTCTTTCTTTAGTTTCTGGTCTGGTGATTGCCCTTTCCTCTGTACAAATAATCATGTTAGTCCTCCTTTTCTCCCTCCTGCTTAGTCTTGGCCGTCACGGGAGCCCCTTCCTGCCACACCCTCCCTATCTTCCCATCCCTCTCTATTAACATCTTCAGAGAGTGCAGCTACTAAAGGCTGACTTTGGGTCAGAGTCCCTGCCTGCATTGCTTCTTTGGACATGATAATCATTGAGGGACCCAGGGAACATCATCTCACCGATGAACTCCTGCTTCTATTGCTAGCTAATACTTACTGAACCCAACGATGAGCTATTAAGAAATACATGAAAATAGCCCTGTACAGAGAGGCTCTGCCTCTGCTTGGCAACTTCCACGACTCTCCAACCCGCCTCCAGCTCAGTGGTACCTCCCAGTGCAGGAGCTGGGACTGACTTTACAGTAACAACCCTCCAGTGGACACTCAGGTGGGGGCCTCGGATGAACAGCCCAGTGGCGCTTTATCCTATAGCTTAAAGGGGATACATTATTTGGCTCTCTAGTGCGTGGAATTTTCCAAGTAACCACATGACTTTAAGCCAGCTTTGATTTATTTTGTAACATGGCTCCTTTCCAATGACCCTTTGTCCCAGTCGTCCAAGAGGGATGCCTTACGAAATCTGAACAATGGCTTCTTTGCTTGCCACAGTGTGCCTGGTAACCCCTGGTTATTTTTTTTTATTTGTTTTGTTTTCTTTTTTCATTAACTTAAAAAAAATTGATGCCAAATTGGTGTACGGTGTCTTTAAGATGTTTTCTTGGACTCCAAGACTAGGATAAAGGAGAGAGTAGAATAATAAATGGAGGGACTCTCTTGCTATGGATAGCTAAGTGCTTATCCACAAGAATAAAAAGCTTTTTCTAAAGCTATCGCTTGGGAGAAAATAAATTATGGTCAATTATTCACTAGAGTGCAAGGTTATTTTCCCTTTAGTGAATTGAGTCAGCCAGTGCCCCAAGCCACACTCTGAGTGGCCCCTTTGGGAGTGTTTAACTGTCGTGCTGTCTTCCTGGTATTTTGTTCCTAGTAATCTACTCCAGATAGATAGGTATTCAGCGAGGCCAGAGATTGCGCCAGTCAGTACATTTGGGGTCAGAGAGAGCTCAAGTGTCTGAGAGGGTGATGACAGCCCTTAGAATCAGGAGAACTGGTCATCCCATGGATGAGCTTGTTTCTCCAGTCCATTCTAAGTTATCAAAGTTTTTACAAAGGCCTTTATAAATATCTACATGGAAGCAATCACCTGAATCTTTGGTGCAAGGGTGATATTGTGGCCTGGCAAAATAAGGAAATAAACGTAGAGTTCAATTTAGAATGAATAAATATTATAGGGACAATTGGTAATATTGTCTTGTATTAGTATCCCTTATTCTACTCCAAAGAGGAAATGTATATTTCTAGAATTCTGTTCTAGGGAACGTAAGTGGGGGAGGAGATAAAGGGTTGGATGTGAGTTTGGTGAGTGTGGAGAAGGAAGTGGTGGGAGTGGAGAGGTGAGAGTGATGTTGGATGGTGGAGGAGGGGTGGAAAGGATACAAGAAAGGGAACCGAGATGGTTGGGGGCTGCCTGACCTCGGACCTTTATAACTCATATATAAATATTTAGAAGTTATAAATCAACCTAACAGATGGCTAAAAAATATAATTTTATTCTGTAGTCTTTATGAGGATACCCTCAGAATGACCTTGAAGGCCTGGTTTGAACGTAGAATTACCTGATTCTTCAGAAATACTGGCTAGAATATTGTTGTCCACTGCCAGTCTCCGATCTCGCTGTCCTTTGCATCCCAGTTCCTACCTCCACCACACCGTGACGAGTCTCAGGTGCACACAGGTAGATGCCCCAGCCTCATGTACAAGCTCTGGTCACATCTGCACACCCCAACTCCTGGCAAACACGTGCCTCTGTTTGTGCCTTGGGCCTCAGGGTTCATATACAGGCCACATGGCTCTTCCTTAGGGGTTTGAACCCAGGGAAAAGGCCCACAAAAGCCCTGGCAGTGAGGGTGGGTACAATCTGTAAGAAGGAGCAGTGTGGTAAGGGTTCCAAGTTGGCCCTAGAGTGAGACTCTTGAAACTGCAGAAGCCCCTCTTGCCCAGGTCCAAGGCTGCTACTAAGCGGTAGAACTGTTCATTGCCCCCACACTTGCCTAGCAAGTTGAAGGGAAAATATTGAGCTGAACCACAGGCATCTCTGTAGCCACCAATGGAGACGGCAATGCAGAGGCTTCTCTCCATTTTCTTTTTTTTTTAAATATATTTTTATTGATTTCAGAGAGGAGGAGAGAGGGAGGGAGAGAAACATCGATGATGAGAGAGAATTGTTGATGGCTGCCTCCTGCATGCCCCCCACTGGGTATCAACCTTGCAATCGGGCATGTGCCCTGACTGGGAATCAAACCGTGAACTCCTGGTTCATAGATCAGCCACTGAGCCATGCCGGCTGGGCCCTTCTCTCCATTTTCTAGGCTCCAGGAAAGATTCCAGTTGGCCCAGGACCTGAGATAGGACCTTCCAAGCAGGGCAGAGAGAATGTCTCAATTTCTCCGGCTAGTGGGGAGCTCAGAGTGATCTTTAATTTGGTTTACAAAAACAAAGTCATGTGGCATGTCCTGTACTACATTCTGGTGTGATACACACATGGGTTATAGCACATAGACCACGCTACTCAGCTTCTGAAGCCTTATAGATCTCTTACACCTGTGTGCTGCTCTGCTTGTGTCTTTGCCTACATGTATTAGTGTGACGTGTCATAAATTCCTGAAAGGCATGAAGTGGCTTATTTCTCATTGGGTTCCTTGCTGAACCCATCGCAGTACCATGCATGCATCAGACATTCAATAATGCATTTGTTGAGCTTAATAGAATGTCTCAGAATTCACCTAAAGAGTGAGTGGTATCCGACTGGCATAGCTCAGTGGTTGAGCATCAACCTATGAACCAGGAGGTCACAGTTTGATTCCTGGTCAGGGCACATGCCGGGTTCCGGGTCTGATCCCCCTGGGGTCATGTAAGAGCCAGCCAATCAATAATTCTCTCTCGTCGTTGCTATTTCTATCTCTAACTCTCTGAAATCAATAAAAAAAAATATATTTTTAAAAAAGAATGAGTGGTTAAGGACATATGACCTTGTTCCAATGTTTCTTGGAACTAGTGGTTTCCCCCCTTACTTCTGTATTAATTTACATGACAACACACATTAGGCTTTCTTTTAAAGTAAGTAAGGGTGATCATTAAAAAAATGTAATAAATGATTAGTTCCCAAAAAGAAGTTTTGATAAATTCCTCTGATACATAACTTTTTCTGTAACAGAGTAAAACTAACACAAAACTAGAACAAAGGTGTAGGCAGCTAATAGCAATGACAGCTTCTGACATTCTTTGCTCTTTGTAGTCTAAAATAGGCTTTTTCTTTCCTATTAGAACTTTGTGGTATGGAAGTGCCCTTAATATGAGGAGAGAGATCACTTGTAGAAAAATAACATTCTCTGGTACAAAATATAGTTAGAGCATAAGTCATGACTGGGGAACCAGTATTTTATAGGGATGCTTTATGGTCCCTTGTAGGCTAGGTTCATAAATGGCATAACAGACTTGACCATGAGTGTTTAAATTAGGGAACCAGCTCACCTGCTGCACTGGGCCTCTGGCCCAGCAACCAGGCAGCAGGGGCCATACTGATTGGTTGTGCCACATAGAGATAGGGTCTTACTTGGTTTGCAGTAGAGATATATAGTCTTCACTGCTTTATAGATAAGCCAGACTTCTTTTTAAAAAAAAATACTTGTATTTATTTTAAATTTATAAATAATATATTTTTATTGATTTCAAAGAGGAAGGAGAGGGAGAAATAGAAACATCAATGATGAGAGAGAATCATTGATCGGTTGCCTCCTGCACGACCTGCACTGGGGAATCGAGCCCTGATCAGGGCATGTGCCCTGACCAGGAATGGAACCGTGACCTCCAGCTTCATAGGTCGACGTTCAACCACTGAGTCACGCCGGCTGAGCCAGACTTCTTTTATGTAAAATATCTTAGTCAATAACCTGGAAATGGATTTTCTGATTAAAATGGGGCTTTGCATAGGGATTGCACACATTATGATTTCAGATTTGTTGAGAACATGTGGTGATGGTCAATATTCTTAACAACCAGGAAGGCAAGATCACCAACCAATCAGGACAGGAAAAGATGTGGCCACCATAGTTTGGACAAGAACTCCAGTTTCTCCTTGCTGTTCCCAAACATACTACAACTACCCGCACCATTTTTCCCGTTAGGGGCCACACATCCACCCAGGAGCAGGACCACCCTCACAGCTTCCCAGCTCTCACATGGAAAGGAAGCAGAGCAGATATTTCTAAATGTTGTCCCAGGGTGCTATGGGCCCACCAACAGGTCACAGTGTAGTTAGCTCCTAGAACAAAAGGCCAAAAGAAAAAAAGGGGGCAAAGTGAGATGTGGTATCTTATACTCCTACTCCTCTCCTTTAACTGCGACGTTCTCTACACCAAGAGGAGGGAAGGGAGCTGCCAGAGAGATTATGGGTTTGCACAAATGTGTCTCAGCTTCTAGATTTTTAAAGAAGGTTTCCACCCATTTGAACGGATGCCATCAGCAAACCCTACATCTGTAGCTGCTCTGTAGCCTGCACCAGCTCTCTGTCACTGTAGCGGTTTTGGCAGGAGCTCTGGTGGGTTTGGCCAGGATGCCGAGCCAGAGACACATGCTGGAGGTCAAGGCTGAGTTTGGTAGCATGCTGGCTCCTGGCCTTTTGTCTTCAGTTCTTTCTGAGCGCACAACCCCTAACACAAAACCAGGACTGTGTCATTTCAACACAAACACTTCAGATTTATTGCAGCGTTTATTGAATACACTTCCCCTTCTGTTGAGAAAACTTGTTTGACTTTAAGAGGTCTTCTAGCAAATTCAAATCGGGAAGTAGGCACAGATCCACTGGTGTCACGCAGGGTTGTAGGAAATACACAATTCTGCTTTGCTTAGAAAATATCTTAGATCAAGAGAAAGATGGGTATTCAAGATTCCATCGTGGTGTATTGGACTGGTTTTTAGCCTGGAAAAAAGCATTTACAGCCTGTTAAGTAAAACTAAAGTAACTACTTTTGTTTATAGTATAGCTTGCTTTTTTTGTAAAGTACAGTGACAAAACACAGACAATAATGATCAAAACACTGACTTCAAATGGGATTTTGTTTACAGTTTTTAATGAAGCAATTTGTGCAAACATTTTTTCTTCTTCAACATTAGAAGGAAAAAAAAGAAAAGAAAAAAAAAAAAAAACAACGGCCACACTTGGGTGCCTGGTGTTAACACAGACAACGCTTTCTCATTGCAACCATATTTCAAAGCAGCAGAGTGCAGGGGCAGTGGCCAGGCCCTTAGTATTCCTCAGGATTGCTTGAGTGCAAATCTCGCATATATGACTCAATTATGTTAGGAGGTACACCTTGCAAGAGGAGCCTGCAGAAGGAAAGTCCACCTGGAGAGGGCAAAAAGGAAAAGGCAAAGTCAAAACCGTCTATGTGAAAAATCGCTGAAACAATACTCCTGGACTAGCTGCCTGGAAATGTGTCTAATTATGTTCCAGTTAGTTACAAAGATTCAATCAGTCCCTGCTCAGAAATCTTCTCCTGGATTTAGTATATTTAGACTTTAAGGCACTAGACATCTAGAAGGAAAAGCAAGTTCTGGCTAGGCCCATAGAAGTCCTTTGTTTCCTGCTATTATTCAATCTTAATTTAATTTCCTAACTGGTTGGGAAATACTTATCACTCTTTGAGAGGTTTTGGGATTCTCTATAGATGATTTAAGTGCTCTGACTGAATGGCAGAATAAATGCATTACCATGTTATGAATCATCAGGAAGAACTGTTTCCAGTTTATTTCTGTTCTTTTTAATTAAGCACCAAGTTCTAACTCAAACACGTTAGAGAAGAAAGAGGAGACGACTCCTTTAAACTTGGCTACTTATACATTGTCAAGAGTGAAACAAATTGGAAAAAAATTGTTTTTGGTTTGTTAATCTTCACCCAAGGACATTTCTTACTTTGATACTTTTTTAGAGAGTGTGGAAGCAAGGGGGAGAGACAGAGAGAAAAACATTGACATGAGAGAGACACATCGATTGGTTGCCTCCTGCACACGCCCTGACCAGGGCAGGGATCAAGCCTGCAACCAAAATACGTGCCCTTAACCAGAATCGAACCTGTGACCCTCAAGTCTGAGGGCTCACACTTTAACCACTGAGCCAATCCGGCTAGGGCTCACATTGGAATAGTTTGTTTAAAATAGTAAAGCCTATCCAATACCTTCTGAAGGTCAGAGAAATACCTACTAATATTTCATACTTACCTTTCATGTTTCTGAATTATATCTAAAAAAATAAAAGTGCCCTTCATGAGAGAACCCATGAAACTATACAATTCATGGTCCTTTGGAAAAGTACTTCACTACTTGCTAATAAATTCACGTCCAGACAAAAACAGCATGCCATATGAACATTCTTAAACTTCTTTAGTGCAAATTTGGAAAAGTCATTCTCCTTTTAAAAAAAAGACTTCAAGTCACATATCGATAGAAATGATGCCACTTTTGTACATGTCCATTCCTTGATGCAAAGCGTTCAGAATGCTTGGGTATCAACTCATTTTCATCCACATTAAATGCTTTAATTCATGCTCTACCGCATTCATGTCAACAGGAGATTGTTGTGCTGAATAAGTACTAGTTGTTAATTTCAAGATACTAAAATACAAATTAAAAACTACAAAGTTAGATGTTTTAAATAGTCTATTTTCATTGGACTCCATAATGAAAATCATGCCATACTCCACAAGCTCTGTATGACTTATGACAGCATAAGCTTCATATGCCAAATCCATATGAAAGCTTACCTTAGATGATAATACACATTCAAAAATCCTTACTGTGCTACAACTAAGGAAGAGAGAGAGAAAAAGAGAGAGAGAGAAGTTTTGAGCATTAATAAAGTGCTAAAACCAGAGTTGAGTACTCGTTGGATGAAATTATGGTTGCGATTATGATGAGGTGATTTCATTAATCCTTAGTCATGTGAAAGATGTAGGAACATAGAAGCACATGGAATGAAGGGCAGGGATCCAGTCACTTCAAAAGGATCATTAATATGTAAAACACTTATTAATATGCACAACCACTTTGCCTAAACAGGTGGCAAAGCCAATTGGATTGTACAGTGAATATTTATGGTAAGAGCTTCCAAACCATTAGCTTAAAAAAAAAATCCTACAACATATATATATTGTGTTTTTCAACAAAAGAAAAACATAGATGATGAACAAAGTATTAGTGTACATATATATATGTTGAAATTCTAAAAGGCAAAATTATCAAGTAGGTATTAATGTGAGACTAGTGTATTCTATAATATGTATTCTGAAATGATTCCAAATGTGACTAATCTATATAAACACAAGGCTTAAACAAACAGCCTAGAAAGTGACTATATGTATAATCTACAAAACTTTTAAGAAATAGCCCTAATTCTTTCCTCCTTTGAAAGCTGACATTACCTCTGGGAATTCAAAGAGCACATATGATAAACTCAGGCAGAGATCTACATCATAGAGTTTACATCAAGTTTCTTACCCATCCCCAAAGAACTTCTTAATCCATTCTTCCAACTAGGGGAGAATCATACATATACTATCAGACTCATTTAATACTTAATCAATTTAATAATGGGACCTAGACTTATCTGTCCATTTAAATTCATGAGTATATGAAATACTTTTGGTCCCATGAAAATATCTAAAATGTTCAATAGAAAGATGGGTTACAGATATCCTACTGGTGAATTTTTCAGGGGAAAGTCTTAACTATGAAAGTTTCTAAATATTGGATCTGTTTTTATTTGTGACCTTTCCCTATCAAAAATGCTCGGAACACTTTTTCTAGAGCTTAACAATTTTAAAAGGTTCAGTTTTCCGAATTTCAACACAAATCTAAGGAAACCACCCTGGAAACTACCTTAAAGGGAGATCGTATCTCTTTACATGTGAAAAATGCAATTATTACAGAAATGTCATTGGTTCCCAGGTGTTGATAATCTTACATCTAAAAAATGGTATCTTCAAATGCAGCCTTCCGGTTTTATTTATGGGGACCTGTGCTATGGTACTTAGTTTCCTGACAAAACTTAGTTCCTAATTACTTAATAACCTTGAATAATTTGGCCTTCCTAGTTCATGGCATAAACACTGTATGCCACGAGCTGCTAAAAAAAATATAATGAGAAGCAAATGAGAAAGTCAAGCTTTACATGCAAAGTGCGATTTCATGTAAGAGGAATGGAACAGGAAGTAGAAATATCCGGTGCGATATGAATTTTTAAAACCTGTTGCTGCCCCTCCAGGAACAGTGGTTCTCCAGGGGAAAATACTCGTTGGTATATCACTGTAGAATTAGAATATTTGTACCAATATTTATTTGTTCTCAGTTCACATATTTACCTTTATTTTTACAGCTTAACTTGATTCAAGTCACCTATTATCAGATAACAATCTGACGATAAACAACCTTGGCTTTAGTTTTAGGACCCAAAGGTTTTACCAATATGTTGCAACTGATATTTTACTATGAATGTATGTACTAAAATACATTATTTTTATTATTAAATTCAATTATCATATAATTCACCATGCAATTACATAAAAATATATCATCTATATCTATATCTATATATCTATATCTATAATCTATCTTTCTATCTATATATACATAACGTTATTATCTTCTAGGAAGGACCCCCAAATGTTGAACCAGTTATGAAATCATCACTTTATATCATTAGCAACATTCAGTTATTTTCAAAACACGCAGAAGTTGCGCTAGGCTTTTGTTTTTATTTTTATTTTGGGATGCTGAAACATAAGTACCAACAGTTCCTTGGAATTATTAAGCCTAAGAGTTTAGAAACCAGATGTATTGCAACTGGGACCATAATCTGCATTTAAAGCTAATAAAAACTTAAAAGTAATGTTTACATTTGTAAGCACTATCTCAAGAGTAAGTTTTAAAATTTTTCTAAGGATGTTATGTTTTAAACTTGTTTTTTTCTCTCTCACTCAATTATGAATCTATTGTACCATATTACCACAGGACTGACAGAGATCAGAAGAGAAAGAATAATTTTTTTAAAAAAAAGTTACAAAAGGAATTTTTTTCAATAAGTTTCTTAACGATTTTATACTAAATTTAGGACTAAAAACTTTTTTAACATAAGTACTCTAAGCATTTACTATGTTTTTCCAAAAAATAAATATTACAAGATTATCTTTCTGACTTTTAGATAATAATTTCTTCATTATAGAGAGGTAGAGAAAAGACTTCACTGTCACAGAGAGGCAAGGTGATACAATATGGATGAGAGAAAAGATATTAGAATCATGTCACCTATTATCTCATGGTGTCGCAAAGTAAGTTTTGATTGCCAAGAAAAAAACTTTACTATACAAATTATACTCAATTAATATTAAAACTGATTAAGACAGCAGGTTATGCTGAAACTTTCCTACCACATCAATCCTTATAAGTTTTCTTGATTTACATCGGTAGAAAACTAGTATAAATGAAATGTACACCTGTAGATAGAAGTTCTCTAGTGAGATTTTAAAAGCAACTGGTTAAAATATATAGATGCTATATTCTACATAAGTAATAGTCTAAACTAGCAAACTTACCCATATGTATTGAAAGTTTCACAAAATAGTAAACTAATTTAAAATAGCGTAAATTTCTATCTTTAGACTATATGTATTGAAAGTTTCACAAAATAGTTAATTTAAAATAGCGTAAATTTCTATCTTTAGATACGTTTTTGCCCTAGGCTTGTGTTTATAGATGGACTACATCATCAAAATAATACCCTCTTAACTTCATTTATTCTCACCATGCTGTACACATACCAGCCTTCCACTGTAATTAATATTTCTTTAGTTAACAAGAATTGCAAGAGTTTAAGGTAAGTCTACTTAAGAAGTCAAACAAACTTCACAAATAAATCAAGAGTGAATGCAAGGTGTAAAAATGTATTCTCTACCCCAAGTCTCTTGGCCCTTCCTCCTCCACCCCAGAACATTTTGGCAAACAATTTGGATTTTGCAGTAAGCATAATAATTGTATGGTTTTCTTTCATTTTATTCTACACCCCAGGTCTTGGATGTCATACCTTTCACCTCCAGTTTGCATTCGACCTCCACGGTCCCTAGGTTATTGACTGCTTTGCAGCAGTAAGTGCCTCCGTCATAGGAGCTGGGCTTGCGGATCTCCAGCGTGCAGACCCCTTGGTTGCTGAACATCCTGTATCTTGGGTCATCCACAATAGCAACTTTGTTTTTCATCCAGGTTATTTTGGGCTGAAAGTAATATTGAAGTAAATTAGGGTCAAAACATATCTGTACTTAGCATATTAATAGGCCATCAAAGCAGTGACAGGATTTTAAAGCGTAGCTTAGAGAGGACACCTAAAAAGAATCCGCCTCTATTTGAGCACAGTTTCTCTCAAATTAAACTCTACTTAGTGCTTGGCAAGAGAGCAAATGAGCAGTTCTTCTTTTTTTCTTTACATTGTACTAGGATAGAATGGACCACCTCAAGTAGCTTCTGAGGCGAATACATTTCTCTCACCTCAATAAATTCAGCAAACCTGGTTCCCTTCACTTCTGCAGCATCATGCAGAGTTAGCGATCAAGTTTGCACTACGTGAACAGTTCTGAAAAAGTAAGTCAGGTTTGTTCACAGGACAGCTCTGGAGCAATCTTCCCAAAAGGATTCAATTGCATTTCAATTTCATCTACAGGTCCATGAGGTAACTCATCCAAGAGACTATATATTGCTGGACATTTTTCAGAGAATTCCCATAAGGTGTCATAACCATCGAATTTCCTCACTTCATTTTCCTGATATCTTTTTCTAATTATTTGTGGGCTACTTATGCCTCTCCATTTAATTTGTCCTCTGACATCTGCTTTCATCATCTGGTGGCAATGGATCTTCTCCAACCAGGTAATTCAAGATCTATCATAACCTAATCACCCCGGGAGGTGACTCCATTCTCCTTGACCCCTGAACTATATCTAACATCACTGGCCTCCTACTCTTTATTCATATTGTCTCCCCCTTCCTTATGTAACTGCACAGCCTCCTCACTCCCTCTTCTACCTCTTATATGATTTTGCTTTTTCAGACCTTAGAGATGGCCCTTCTCTTTCTTCTTCATACTGTTCTTTCTTCCTTCCACCTTTCAAGTGGAAGTATTCATTGAGGTTCACTTGGTCCTGGGCTTTTTCCTCATTACCCTCTTTCCTTAGTGGTATTCCTTTCTAATGACTCCAAGGGATGGATTGTACCTCCTCATCTGCCCCCATGCCTGGGGACTCCTAAACTGAGGGTCACAGCCTTGGCCTTTGTCTAAGCTCCAGTGAACTGCTCCTCTGCCCACTGATCATTCCTACTTGGATGGACCAACATCACTTCCAATTAAACACAATTCAGCATCTTCCTCCTATCCTCAGTTTGGCTTCTCTCTGACTTTCCTACTTCTGTTCATGGTACATGTGGAAAAAAATACCACTGTTTGCAATTTTTCAAATTCTAGGGCTCCTTCCCTCAATGCCACCCAGATAAATGTCTCCATTGGGCAACATTCATTAACTACTTGTTCTTTTCAAGTGCCACCCAGATAAATGTCTCCATCCATGGGCAACATTCATTAACTACTTGTTCTTTTCAAATGCCAACAAAATGAAACCTTCAAACCTTTCTAACTCTCTTCTGTCAGATGTGATTTCTCCCTTCCAAGTACTCTGTACCCTTAATATAGCACACTTTAAATTCTGCCTTGCATTATAGTATTATTATTTGTCTTACTCTATTAGAGAAAACTTGATGAATCAATATTTCCCCCTAATTTTTAGGTGAAACAATATTGCTTCCATCTCCTCGCCTCTCAGTTCTTTTTAAAATAGGTGATTTGGTTTTTCCTTAGAATGAATCGCTTATTTAGTAAAGAAATGTAAACATTTTTTACTACTTAAATAGTGTACCTAATTTTCCAACAATACCACCCTCCAACCCCAGAATAAGACACAAATAGCAGTTGGAGGGTCCATTTATATTCCTACGTATATTTATAGTGTGGCAAATACAAAAGGGAGAGTTTTGGGTTAATTCTTAAATTTAACTAATGTGATTAAAAAACTAACAAACGTGGTACCTTGGGATTTCCTCTCACACTGCAGTTCAGAGTGGCATTGTACCCAGCTATCGCGTAGGTGTTGACCAAAGGCTGAGTGAACATGGGCGCCTCTGTGAAATCGAAGTCTTCATACACTGGATTTTTATAGACTTTACCTTAAAAACAAGCATTAGAAATACACAAATTGGCCTGAGACTATATTATTCTTGGCATACTTTACTCGCCATGAAAACTTCCCTGAACTTAGAAAAACATGTAAAAACACGAGTGAACACTACACAGCATTCATTCTGGAGGGCACACATATCCCACAGGGGGCAGAGTGGTCATCTGAAATTGTAACAAATGTTAAGAAGAATTTGGTGCCATTCCCCATCCTTTGCCTATGCCCCTCTTCCATCTGGGTGTTCCTGAGTTAAAATCTTTTCTATTAAACCAGTGATGCAGTAGATAGAATGTTTCTCTGAGTTCTGTGAGCTACTCTAGGAAGTTAATCAAACCTGAGGAGGGGGTCATTGGAACCTCTAATTTATAGCCTGTTAGTCGGAAGTACAGGAGACAGCTTGGACTTGCAATTGGCATTTGAAATGGGAGGTGGGGATATTCTTATGGGACTGACCCTGGAACCTGTGGGATCTGATGCTCTCTCTGGGTAATGTCAGAATGGAGTGGAATTGTGGGGCATCCAGCTGGTGTCTAAGTCTTGTTTGGTGTCAGGGAAACTCAACCAAACCTCCACTCACTGAAATTGGGTGAGAGCCCCCTTTATCAGCCCACTACCAACTCACCATCCTTGGCGATCACAGCGCTCTCTTTAGTCATTGTTGCATTCTCACTGAGGCCACACATGTTTTCAGCAAAGACTCGGAAGTAGTATTCATTGCCTATGACCAGTTCAGTAATGGTGGCATGGGTTCGGTGATAGTGCTCAATGACAGTGAACCATTCCTGAAAGAAAGACAATTTGAGGAAAATCACCTAAAAATACACAACTATCCCAACTGTTGATTAGAATAAATATCAGGGATGTTTCATTCACTAAAAGAAAAATAGCACTAATTTTTATCTTGAGAGCAATAACTATGTACATTTAATGTATTTAATACTTTATAATTAATTTATACTTGACTGTATAACTTAATCTTCATTCATACATTAGAATCATATGCCCTAGAGGTCAACTACTACCTTTGTACTTTTCTCATAACTGTACAGTCTGTCATCTATCAATCTACTTGTCTACTTATCTACCTTTTATATAACAAAATATAATTATAACATGTTATTGCCAAGATATCTATTCTGAGGAAGAGATGATGCTAAATCACAGAGAAAAATTAAAATTGTTCAACAAATTTGCCTAATAGTATCAACACACGTTCTTTAAGGTCTGTGCTCAGATCTCACCTCCTCCCTAACTGTTCAGCCTTCCATTGCTCTACTTAGGCCACACTATGTCACCTTAACCTGGAGAAGTTTTCTTCACAGCACTTGCTACCTTAAATTATCCTATATAATAAAAGCCTAATATGCTAAGTGGCCAGATGTCCATTCAGCCAACCAAAGTGTAATATGCTAATGATATGCTAAGGCCACTCAACCGCTCGCTATGACATGCACTGACCACCAGGAGGTAGATGCTCCGATCGGTAGGTTAGCTTGCTGCTGGGCTCTGGCCTATCAAGACTAAGCAAGACAGGCCAGACACACCCTGGACTAAGCAAGACAGGCCAGACACAGCCTGGAGCCCTCCCATGACCCCTCCCTGGCTGGCCAACCTCCTGTGTCCCACCCTGGCCCCAACTGTGCACCAGTGGAGTCCCTCGGTCTGGTCTGCACCCTCTTGCAATCCAGGACCCCTCACACCAGTGGAGTCCCTTGGTCTGGTCTTCACCCTCTCACAATCCAGGACCCCTCAGTGGATGTCAAAGAGCCGATTCTGGCCCGATCCCGCAGGCCAGGCTAAGGGACCCCACTGATGCACAAATTCGTGCACTGGGCCTCTAGTCTATTTACTGTTTGACTTGTTTATTCTCTACCCCACCCATCACTGATATGAACAAGCCAGGATGTTAAAGACAGACGTTTATTTTCTCTCCTTGTATCCCTAGTGCCTATCACAATAACTGGCACATAGTAGGTACCTTGCACAAAATAAATACTATTTTATTAAATACTATAATGGATGAATGAATGAATGAATGAATGAGAAGCTAAACTTTTTTTTCACTTTTTCTCCTTACCATACCAAAAAATATAGTAGTCTCAAAATTTATCTGGCAACCAGTGGAAATTCCCATGGTACCACATATGTTTGGGACCACTAATTGAGAAAATACACTTGCTGACAAAAATGTTCATAAAGGAAAGAATTTTTCTTACAACTTTTAGGGGCCATGGTTATATATGCACTTTGCATATTTTAAGACAGCAAACAAATGTATTTATGCCCTTTTTTATGTCCAAAACACTTTATACAAACCTTTATTCCAACATTTATCATATTGTTTTGTCATTTGGTTTTATGTCCTTCTTATTGCCTAGACCAGTGGTTCTCAATCTGTGGTCGCGACTCCTTCAGGTGTCGAACGACCCTTTCACAGGGGTCGCCTAAGACCATCGGAAAACACATATATAATTACATATTGTTTTTGTGATTAATCTCT